TAAGTTGCAACCATATGCGCGCCAAAAAGTCAAGAGTTGGCAGAAACAGTGGCAACAACATGGCATACAAGTCGTTGAAGTAATTCTTGTAGGGATGCTCTGGGATGTAGACGGCAGAAGAGTACGTCAACATGTGCTCGACGTGCTCAGGCTCTGACAAGGTCCAAAACTGGTCATGCCTGTGTTCAGAAAACTCGTTGTGCGGCATTTGTCGCATTACAGTCCTCATTGCCAAATAGACTGTGGAAAGTTGCATCAAGAAGCTTGATGCTACAAGCACCTTCTTGTTGACGTGCCATGGGGCTGCCAAGGCCCATTCCAATAATTGTGCTCTGAAGAGCGTCATGGAAGCAACGTTTGCGGCTACTTGCCCCACGTGATACTCGAGGAGGGCATGGGTAACACCAGAAGTGCAAAAGATAAGTTCCCGCTGCTCAGCTCGCCTCGCCAAATCCAGCAGCATGACGCCGGCCAAGTTCGGAGGAGCACCGTGCAGGGGATTCATGCCAAGGAACTGCATTCTAGGAACGCGGGGCAACAGGTTGACAAAAAAGTGACACATGAACATCTCATAGCAGATTAGCATGTCAGGACGTGCTTCTTTACTCACCACATCTTGTGCAACCTCCATCAGCTGCTCAAAGCCCACGTCATCCGGGGCATGAAACATCTCGCACAGCGCATCAGCCCGGCTGGGCACCTTCCGCTCTAAACACCCTGGGGTGCGCTCGCAAAGGTAGCAGGCAGCAAAGTAGACAAAGTCCAACACATCAATGCCTGCAAGGGCAGCGCTTCGATCGACATGATCAGAAAAGACGTTGGCCAGCGGCGCATGGAGGCATATTATCACCACTCGGGCTGATGATCCATGTGTCGAGGACGTCAGAGGTGGCGGGGGAACGTGGATCACAGGCGAAGGCAAAACAGGATCACCAGGCTTGACCCCTTCTATCAACCAAAGGTTCTGTCGGATGGTGCCGGCGAACACGTGGTCAACCCCCATGTCATCCTTGACTGCGCCACTATGTGCCTCCAGCAAGCTCCGTGTAAGCCAACCTTTTACTGTTGAGCAAGGCTCCGATGCAAGTTCCAAAGCTCCCGCACAGTTACGCGGGACGCACAAAATGTTGAAGTCCTGCTCAGCTTCGACGTCATCCTCCGCTTCGACTTGTAGCCCTTCAAAGATCTCGTGGCCCAAAGCGGTGACCCCAAACTGAAGCTTCACAAAAATCAGCTTGCCGCCTCTCGCGTGGCAGTGCGTCTTCGATTCTACCACAGCAAGGACTGCGGGCACCAGCGTTCCCACGGCAAGCGCACAGAAAAGGAACCTTGAAAGCATCACGCATCCTACATGCTAGAATGAGAGCAGCCAAGTGGGGTTTCGAAGGCAGCACCAAATTACAAATTGGCAAACAACTCTTCGGTGCTGAAGGCCCGGACACAGGCAAGGCCTTGTCGAGACAATTAGACCAATGGTGAGCAACTGGACCGCCCTGAAACGCGTTCATAGTACATTCAGTGATAGCGAAGCTACTGCTAGCAACTGTAAGAATCCAAGCAGGCTCAGTAATGAGAATGAATCCCAAATGACGGCATCTTCCACCAGCTTTTGAGAGAGGTTCCCTTCACTTCAAGCAACCTGACTGACAGACGCGCCATCTGCTCGGGATGGCACCAGCCCGGCTGTACTCAACAGCTACACGCTCCTCTGGATTGCGAACTCTGCAGCATGGCATGGCGAACCAGTTTGGAATATGGCCATGTAAGCTAACGCATGGTAGGTTCGTTCTCCATCTGATTACCTTGCTGCGGCTCATGAGTTGCACATTGCATTACAAGGGGCATGGTAGGTGACTTGGTTGTTGCATGCCACGAGATTGACAAGGCCTCGAACGGCAGAGGTGGCTTAAATGCTGTCGTACAGGTGGAAATTAATTCTGAATGAGACGGCGAACATCATGGTTGCTCATCATAAACCTCAAGTAATTGCTCAAGTCCCTCCTCTTGCTGCAACTCTGACTGGCTAGTGGGCTTAGCCGAAGACCTAAACCCTTAACCCCCAATTAGCCTCATCTCGGGCCCCCGGCGCAGAAGGAAAAATGATGTTAGCCCATGGGCCTCGGAGATTCACCAAAGCTTCATATGAGCCCATTTCACTGCCTATATACTACCCAATCCCCATGTGCTCCCTATTCTGTACCCCTATATTACCCTCTATATCCTGGAAAAAAACCTACATAGTCACTGTATACCCCTCTGTAAGCCTATACAATACCTAAATGCCCTGAAAGGATCAAGCAAATATGGTGCCTGAGCAGGCGGCGACACCTACTTCCACGTAGACCAGGCTCTTCTTGCCAAGGTCCTGGAGGATTGACTGGGTTGCTGTTAAGGAACTTAAACTAAATCACCATAATAGGGGTGTATGGAGTTATAAGATCTAGAAGGGGGAAAGGCAATTTTCCCGAAGATGTGCATTGTCATATCAAAACGGTAGTCTAGAAGCATGCCCCAACGGCATTTCGAAAGCATGCCAGATCGAGGATTTTTTGGGCGCGTCCAGTGGTTGTGTCTGACTTAGCGATACAAGTTCTGATTGACACTGAGTCCCACCGGGTCTCACCAACACTAGAGACTTGGGCCTCCCTCCAAGAAATGCCCCTTCCATGTCATAGTCCTCTCACCTTACCCGGAAGCCTACATACAAAGTTCGCGTGACCCCCACAAACTGCTCCATGAAGATGTTGCTCTTGGTACTCCACTCTGTTGCGTGGCACAGCTTTGGCTAGGAACTCCTGTGGAACTCTTTTCCAGAATGCTTTCAAACACTACTGGAACAGTAAAACATTCGTTTCAAATCCCTCGATCTTTACCACTAGCGAACTTGTAAGTATAGAGGTTACCCTAATTATAGCATTCTTCTTTGAATCCCTTAGCAGCCTTAGCAGCAACCCAGATGATGACAGTCAGTGCCCAGCCGCCTTGCCCAAGGATTGGTATATGGGAGTTCCCCATGATGGATACTTTTTTGGGGGGTCCCCATGATAAGGACCATAGCATTTTAGTGTCTTTATTGGGGTATCCCTGTTTGGGGAAACTTGCATGAAGTGATGGTCCTCACGCAAGCGCTGCAACAGCCCACGCAGGATGCGATAGCGCTCGCCTCTAACTGTTTTTGCACCTTCTTTCCAAAGAAGTGTGGCCCTGGCATTTTTTAAATGTTGCTGCAGGGGGCATGGTTAGTTGCTGATGCTCTGACAACCCTCGCATGTTCTGGTGAAGTTGGGGACTTCCATGCAATGACCGTACTTGCATCGACTTCAACAGCAAAAGCAACAGGAATGTCACAGGAATGTCAGTTCAATGCTAGCTACAACAGCTGGATAAGTTTGGCAGCTAGCTTCAGCGCCTGGAGTATGCAACTTCAAAACCCAATGCCAAGTTTCCTGAAGGAGGTGCATAATTCTAGACAACATGTGTCCTTCTTCGGGTCTTTTCAACAAAGACTCCAGTGACCCCAAGATGATAGATTTCTCATGTCAACCGACCCTCAAAACAGCGAGCTGTCCAGCTAAGCCAGGTGCAGCAGGCATCGCTGTGCAGGGGTGGCTCGGCCAGCCGAAGCTTGGGTCCTCTACGAGCTGTATGTGCCCAGGTTTAGGCCTAAGCTTTGTAGAATGGAGGGTACGTTTCGTAGAGCCTCGGAATAGGAGAACATCCCCCCCCTGTACAGCAGTGTTGGCCTACAAGTCTGTCTCAATATGGCTTCTCGATTCCCTCTGGTTTGTCCTGGAAATTTGCTCATGAAGCGACGCCTCCTGGGCATTTTTAGAGCTGAGACAAGCACAAGCCCGTCGCCCTTGCGAAAGAATCTCATAACATGCTAAGCCTGGAGCAGGTCAAAAGTCGTCAGCAGCAGAACGAAGCCTGCCAGCAACACTCAGGCATGAAGGGTTCTGCTTTATTGGCATTGCGTGCTCACTCTGAGGCAAAAGCTTTGTGAGAGTAGCGTCAGCTCACGACTGAGCTCCCAAACCTAGCAACTCTGAAACACCCTCTGCAGTGACCATTGGCCCCTGCTCATCCTATCTCAACATAGCCGCAAGTATTGGATTTGAAGGGCTCGCGCCGCATCGTTTTTGACAAGTCGTATCCGACATGCAAAGTAATTACCAACGTTCTGGGTCTGGTTTCTAAGGCATGGTAAGAAACAGATTGGGGTACCAACTGCCCTCCGGATTTGCACTGCAACCTATGCCCTTGAGCCCTGTAGAAGCAAAAACCAAGTGGCTGAAGTCAGCAGCTCAGCTTGCGAGGCCATCAGATGCTGCACACGCAGGACCTTGACACAGTGCAGGCAGGCTGCAGAGTCATGACCCCACTTGTTACTATGTGGCTTTGAGGGTTCTAAGTCCACTTACTAGGTCCCCTGATCCTCCAAGCACCACTGCTTCCATACGAAGACCTGAAGATCCTGAAGAGCCCCAAAAGCCATCGATGCAGAGCATTGAGTGGAAACAGTCCCTGGTAGTTGTACTGGGGCCCTGCAACCTCAGACTTCAGCCCTTTGCAACAGACTTCATCACTAAATGCTCGCGCACTACTTCATACTAGAGAACATGGTTAAGTCAACTACGTGGTGAACTCAGCCCTGAACTCTGAACTCCCAAGTCCAGAAACCTAACCCGTGCAGGGCACCCCACGTGGTGCCTGAGGAGCGAAGCAATGCTGATCGGAGGGACCTTGCATTCTGGAGCTCTTGTGGCATCCCTGAAGAAACAAACATGTGCGTTTAAAAGATTAGGGTTCCCCTCTAAACACAAGGTCTTAGAAGCGAGGCTTCTCAAGAATTCCAGCATCTACATCTTTTGCTGGCTGAGATTGAAACCCTCCCTGAGCTTCAACGAACGAGCAGAGCCGGCCGCACGGAAAAGCAATGCTGGGCTTTTTGCTCAATCGATTATCGGCACAGGTCTTGCCAAAGATGCAAAGCTGACAGCCTAGGCCCGGCTGACATGCCTTGCTCGGCCACAACATAAGCGACGTCCTTAGCACCACAATCGCAGTCAAAGTCATAAAGATACATACTGCTTTCGTGAAATCAAAGAATTCAGCGCAACTTCTCTGCAACTGACATGGTACCCCTGCCGCCTAGTCACTTTTGTTCGGATGGGTGCTGCTGCCTGCCAGCAAGGCCACTGCCTTGTCTGGATGGTTTGTAATGATACCATCGACGCCCACTTCCATTGCTGCTTCCAGATCATTAGTAGCATCGACTGTCCAGGCGAAGACGCGCCCCTGCGCCAGGCGTAGCCTCTCAGTACCAAGTGCAGATAATGAAGAGTGCCTGACAGCCACACCTGAGAAACCAAGCCCGACATGCTGCAGGTCTTCCTTCTCCAGAAGCCCAGACCGAGAGGCCAGGGACAAGTACATGACTTCCAAAGAAGGAACCAAATCTCGCAGTTCGTGCAAATAAGGTTGATAGAAAGACTGCGCTACAATCAGGCCTTCTCCGACCTGACGCTGATACGGCTGCAACGCTTCTGCAACCAGCCGCGCCAAGTTTGGATAGGACGGCTCCTGCTTCTTCATAACACCTGCCCTGCGTAGAGCTGCCTGGACCCAGTTTGGAACCCCGGAGAAGCCACCCTTCAGCTCGATAAGAACTTTTTTGCTCCCGCCAGGCCATTGCATGGCGAGATCGAGGACCTGCGGACTGCAGAACTCGTCCCACCACAAACAAGCAAACAAACAAACGCACAACATGGGCAATGCATCGCCAGCCTCGCTCAACATGGGAACCTTCTCGCCCCGGAAAGCTGGGGAATGCTTTGATCCGGCATCCAGGCGCCGTATCTCATCCAGGGTTGCTTGACAAACCAGCCCCGTACCGTCCGTGGTGCGATCCTCAGAATCAAAAGTTGTCTAGCACGAAGAATTGTCTATGTGACTGCCTCTCCCTCACTACCATGCAAAGCACGAAAGCCATCAATGCAATGCTTCGAGCCTGTCAAGCTTCCAGTTTGGCATCATGGATGACAATCACATGCCCATCCAAGCTAGGATGAACATCGAGCTCAACTCCATCAGCACCGGCTTCCAATCCTTCCGCACTCAGATCCACTTACCTTTGGTCAGCAAGGAATGAGGCGCTAGATCCTTACAGTATGATCCCCAATCATGTAACAGGTTTCATTTGCTTTTCGATTCCTTCATTCCCTGCTAACCAGCAGCAAGTCGATCCAAGTCTCATGCAATGCACCTGTGACCCCTAAACCTTTTTGTGGTCCGCCCTGTAGAAGGGAACCCTATGGAACCTTAGACCCCTAAAACTTAAACCCTACAGGCGCTAGGTGTGGATCCTCCCCCCACCACAACCGCTATCGCACATCTTGCCTCTTGTTCTACCATGTAGGGAGAATTTGCTGGCTCCACCGTCAAACACTGCCATGTATGTTCGAATGAAAAATTTCTGCTTTGACAATCCTACGCCTTCGAAGAACTCTTTCCACTGATTTTTTAAGCAAGCAACTAACCAGAATAGATGTTAAAATGATGAGCTCGCGGTAGATGCGCGCAGCGACATGGTTGCTCTACTCGTTCTTACAACACTCTTCACAGCCTGCGCGGAAGGCAGCCAACGTGTTCTCGGGGCACGCCTTGGACGCTCCGCGGTGCGCCCAAACCAGCGGGCGAACGCGCGCCATGAAGGGCTCGCGGTCTACATGGTCTACAGGGCTAGCATGAGTCATTCAAGGGCTTCATAATGAGAAGGACCCAGGGATCTCTCACAAGGTTCAAAGGACAGCTCAAGCAATCTATCGGGGTTTCCTTTTGAAGGGTGCGTTCTGGAAGTCGTGACATATGCTTCACAGCTACATGTACAGTACATGCAGCATGAGATGAAACAGGCAGGCTACAGCACATCCGCAGATGACACCTAATGCTGTCGACGTCATCCCGTTTCTTTAAAATTCTGTCCGAGCACAGGCATGCAAGCTTTTCATGCCTTGGGCCTCATGACTCTGCTAGGGTCCCGACCCACAAGTGCGAGTCAACAGCAGAACTCCCGAGGTCCTGCAGCAACGCGCCCAACTAGTTTCATCGCAATATACCGCAATACGCATTTTCTGATACCTGCTTGCCCCAGCTCAAGCTGCTGTACATAAGAGAAACAAGACTGTATCGCTCTGCCTCGTCGCTGATGGGGACAATCGCCTTTCATCAGCAAAGATTTTCACACAGGCATGCATGGCAGCAACACAAGTTGCGTCAAGAATTTGTGAATTTCAAAGCAAACATCCGTAGCAATGTCTAAAATCACGAAAGTCAGCGCCATTGTCGGCCATTGTCGACCAGTCCACAGCCCGGCGATGCAATGATCTTTATGGCAAGGCACCAGTGGAACGTGATGAGAAGGAGGCTGCAGCTCCACCTGAATAATGAAGGAACGAGGAAAAAAACAACCGTTTTGAAGATACGAATGCTGACCGTTATGTCATTACAAGAACACTGAAAGATAGCCGCCACAATCAGGACCAACTACAGCAGGGGAACCTTCCAAGGGGAGAGTTTATAAAATTGGTATATGGGGACAGTAATCAGTAACCTATAAACCTGTGCATTTATCCCATATATCATCTTCATACCTCCCCCCAGAAAAAGGTATCTTTGGCAACCAACCCCCAAGTCAGTCCCCTAAACCCAAAACCCGGTACAGTCATCAAGGGCTCCTGGGAAGAGACCCCTGGAAATGACCCCGAATCTGCTTACCTTATAGGATTACCTTATCACATCCTTACATACCCCCCACATTACCAGGTAGTCCAAAAATTCCGCGGCATAACCTACAGGGATCCCAGTACACGTCTGGCCTAATCCCCTCCCCGCAATATTAAGCCCCCCCCGCCCCCCATTAAGTACTCCCCATCGTCGTATATTGCAATCTATTGGGAATATTTAACATTAGCGGGGGGGGTTTTATACCATATTAACCCATTATAGTAATTTCCATTTTCTTTTCCATTTTCCCTATATAACCCCAATATCTACCCCATGATCCCATAATATCAGGGGGAGGGGATTAAAGCCCCAGCCAACTCTGGGGCTCGGGCTAATATCACCTCCCAGCCAGGCCTCGAACCAAATAGTTAGGGTTTAGGGTTTAGGGTTTAGGGTTTAGGGTTCTGGGTGTAGGGTTTAGGGTTCTGGGTGGTGGAGGGTTCGGGTTTAGGTTTTTTGAATAATATCCTCCCAACAATGGAGAATCAAATGGAAAAGAGAATGGAAAAGGACGTGGAAACTGGGATTATATAGGGAATTAGGGATTATAGTTTAAACTACCTATATAACCCCCTTTAAGGAGGTTAGACTTTCGCTCATATAAGCTACAATCAACATTTCTTATCTTCGAAATGAGTGAAGAATGCTCATTTGAGCAACTCTGCAATACTTCAAGTTGTCTTGGGATCAGGCTCCACGAGCCATTGCTCCGCGGTGGTTGGTACCTGAGACCAAACTCAGCAAAAGATCACAAGCGGAAAATGAAAAAGGCAGTGGGAGCTGCTGCCGAGTGGCCTCGAAACTTCGGTTGAACCATTCTCTTGCAGAAATCACGCCAGCCTCGAAATTGAAGCTCGGCGGCTTCGCCCCTTTTCCATGCTCTGTGGAGGGCACACGTGGGCTGACAGCGGACCCAGCCTCCACTCCATCTGCAAGCTTCAGCATTTCAAGGGCCAGCCTGGAATGTGCAAAGGAAAAAGGATTTGCGTGCCAAGTCGAGCAGCCAGTTTTTTTTCTTCCGGCTGCTGGTCGAAGACGGCCACCTTCCTGCTGGTCAGCGGAGAGCGCCGGTATTGCAGGCTCTTGGCTTGCTCTTTTGCGTTGGTCTCATTTGCAGACATCCACGCGACAGGCTACAGGCTGGGTCTTGGCGAAGAATGGAGAGGCAGGTCTCTCGGAGCCGGTCTGTGGCAGGAAGCATGCCTTCATGCAGCTGCGTCCCCCTCGATGACGAGATGGCGGTTCGTAATGCGCCGATCAATGGACAGGATGGCATTTGCTTTGTTCTGAGCAGCCATAATACCACACATGATGGCATGTCTAGAATCATCCCCTTGCTCATCAGCTGCTGCGCACCTCACAGAAACGTCAGTGAGGCCATCCTTGATGCAGCATGGCACTACCAGCCAAGCAGCCAGTTGCTCGGCTGCCCGCTGGAGAACTGCAAAGTTCAGCTCATTGCATCCATGCACACAAACATAAGCAAGACCTGCATCACTTGAAGCCTCGCACAAGTCTTCAAACCTGCCCACCACGAACGACAAGTTGGCCAGGCACTCTGTGTTGCTACCTACAGGGGTGCCAAACCTGTTTACTGCCTCGACGTAAAGCTCGAAGCCAGCCCTCCTTTCAATGTCCAGGGCAAAAACTTCTGTGTGAGGGAAGCGATAGGCCAGCAATACAGCCAGCAGACCATGGCCACTTGCCACATCATAGACCCTGCCAATTTGTGGGAGATTGCGTTCCTTCCGCACTTTGTTGCATCGCTGCAAGTGCGATACCACCTTCTTCCAGATTTCGATTGTCTCGAACACCTCCTTTACCCGAAGATGTTCGGCCGAGTGTTCCAGTAGTCTGTCGAAAGCTTTCAAAAGCTCCTCCTCGCCACTGAAGCTGCTCCTTAGGTACAGTCTCAGGAGCTCCTGCTCGGCAACAGTAAGGTTGAAGAATTTTGTGGACACGTCGAGGGTACCTCCACGGCGGCACGGAAAGTGCCCCAGCAGCGACATCCCTCGCGCCCAGGGGTTCGCGCTATTTGCGCTGTCAGGCTGCATCCCCAAGTCACTCGAGGCGTTCTGTTGGTGGCGCTTGCTACCATAGTGCTGCTTCCAGGCGGTTGCCGAGGAGCAATGGGCCTTGCACGCTTCACACCAGTACCCAGCGTGGCCTTCCCCTGGTGGCTTTGCTACTCTAGAGCTCTGCAGCTTTGCAGCACCTGCAGCTTCTTCCGCCGCAAGAGCCAAGTCATTGTTTCCACCCCAGGCATCCGCTTCGTTCTTTGAATCGGTATGCTCGCCAGCTTTGACCTTCAGCCGGAAAGCGTCTTTCTCCTGCAAACCACGGCCGAGGGAGATCAGTTTGGAAAGCTTCTTGCCACTGGTCAGCAGCTCCAAGCTGCTATCGCTGCCATCAGCATCAACTCCCCCCGGTCCTCGAAGAAGGCTATAAAGCTCGAGGCGTGCGATAGAAACCTTCTCCAGCCCGGGTGCAAAGGCGGCTTTCACCGCTCGCAGCCAGCGCCCAACATCTGCAAACCCATCAACGGGCACCTGCTCAGGGAGCTGCCGAAAGGTGCGCCAAAAAGAATGGTTCTCTCAGACAGAACAGCCTGTAACAAAGTGCCGCTGGCTCATACACACAGCTCCACCTCCAGCTGCACAAAACACAAGACATGGCATAACTGGTAGGGAGGCAGGGGGTGAGTTCCGAATCAGGCCTGCTTGGATGTAGACTTGAACTGTACCCACAAAGACTGAGAAGTGTTGCGCTCTTCGCCCATGGCACCAGCCGTGCTAATTCATGCGGCCGCCGTTGTCATCTTTGTCGAAGGGCATGTCCGGAGGCTGAAAATGTGAGTCAAAAATGCACCTGGAAAGAAAGGAGCTGGCTGTCCCAGAAGCATTTTTGTATAGGGGCTCTGCTCAAATGCATTGCTTCACGTGGTTGGCTTAGATGGAACTGCAGGGACCCATGGGCTCATGACCTCGTGTTAGCAAAATCGCCCACAGGCATCAGTGCTTGAGACTGATGACATGGCATGCGCCTGTAGGTTAAGAAGCTTGCTGCCATGGCATTGTTGCGGCGGCCCGTATTATCAAGGTGCATTCAAACGTCAACTGTACCGCATGGGGGTCACAGTCTTCCATCTTGCTGCATCTTGCTGCATGCTCTCACGGAATCATGCCGTGTTTTTTGCCTGGCGGTGGCTCCTAGATGAGACCAGACCTCAACGGCACACTCGCTTCAAGCACAACGATAACAATCCTGACCTCATGAAATGCTCTTGCTGAGATTGGGGCTACAGGCAACGCCATCACCAGCTGCAGAAGAACTCCCCTCGACGTGGCCGAGAGCCCAGTTGAAAGCTCGCGCAGCACCAAGCTCACGACGCGTCTTTGGCATGGTAGGCGCTGTGCAACGGCCCGAAGCCTGGCCGCTTCAAGCTTCCGCATTTAGCTGTTGGGGCACAGCAGCTAACGGAAGCGGACTACCTCCGGCCAGGTCTTCCAGCAAAGCAAACGGACTCAGCTGACCTTACAGGTCCGGGGCGACTGGGTTATTCCATGCACAGAACAGTGCGCAAGCTATCTGCCTGACTGACGCGTGAGACTTCTAATCAGGGAGCAGCTGAAAACATGCATCGGCAGGTTTGTGAACAACTGCGATGAAAAGCAGAGCTCGGCTTTCGTATCAATCGCTCGGAGATGCACTTCGGCCTGGTGATGCGGACCATCTATCAGAAAGCACTTCGCGTGCCTCGGTTCATCTGCAAAAACCAGCTTTGCCCCAACCGCAAGCTTTGGCAAGTAGTACTTCTATCCAGCCTTCACGGTGGCTGCGTGCCTCAGCTTTGCCATAGCGCACCATCATAGAGTACTGATGAGTAGTACTTACTACGCTTCAAATTGTTGCGAGTGTGGGCCTC